AACTGCACTGCCTTCATCGTCGTTTTACTCTCAGGTGGTCATCTCCAGCATTAGCTGAAGGTACATGAACACAACCGTGCATTGTATAGCTGATAGGCTATTAGAATAATCATCATATCGCTTGCACATGTGAACTAATTTCTATAAAAGCTCAACTGTAAATTTTTTTTTTTTTTAGGGTAGACACATTATTAGTCAAACATTGATTTTTTTTCAATTCGCCGCGTTTGGAAAACGACAGCACGTGTGCAGGTAATTATACACTTTAAAAACATAAGGACATGGGAAATCTAAGGTCACATACACACATTCGTGTTGATCCGCACATGAGTTTTCGAGATATCTGTTGACGTTTCATGGCACGACTTTTGAAAAGCACTATTGCTATATTTTGGAAACATGTAGATGCGTCCTCTTTACCACGAGGTTCATACTCTAGCCTCCATGCCACAGAGCAGTGGTATCATGGAATCATTACGGTCTCATTCATAGGCTCAGGAACCCCAGGGTTTAGTCCCACTGAGCACTCCCCGCTTCACACCTCTGTTTTTTTTTAACTTTTGAAAGAGAGCCCCCCCCCCCCCCCACCCCTTTTTTCCCCTAACGTAACCATACAGAGTCGTCTGTTTCAGTATTTGTTTATATATTTTATATTATGTCAAATAGATTATTTTCCATTTGCCATTCATTCTTTTCTTGCTGTGGTGGGAGAGCGTGTGGTTCTCCATGACCGTCAGAGATGCCGGCGATAGCGTAGCTGCCAGCAGGGCCTCCCAAGCCGGAAAGGTCGAAGAGTAGAAAACAGACAAATAAAGAAACCCTGGTCCTCCAGGTTGGGGGTTGAAGCGTGGGGCTGACACCCCCACCTTCGTAAATCTTTATCTTGTCACGAAACCGATATCTAAGCCTCGATTTCGGATGGATTTCAATGGACAACGAACCTGGAACGTTAAAGGACTTTCGAGATTTGGAACAGGGAATGTACAAACCCTTTTTAGAGCTGGAACAGCTGAAAAACTGCCTGTGAGTATAAAAAAAATACAGAATAGATATAACAGCAATTCAAGAAAAAACACAGGGTACCATAGAGGAAAATGGAATGATCATAGTGTATGGAGGAAACACTCAAAACAAAGATGAACTACGGACAGGATTTTTTATCAAGAAAATGTTGTGGGAAAGTATTATAAATTTTGAAGCTGTTAGTGATAGGATCAGTAAGTTACAAATGAAAGGAAAATGGAAAAATATCACAATGATTAATGTGCATGCACCCACTGAAGATAAAGAAGATGATATTAAAGAAAATTTGTATGATCTTCTTGCGAATATATTTGATGAAGCTCAAAAACGAGACATATTGATTGTCTTAAGAGATTTCAATGCAAAAATAGGAAGAGAAAACACCTACAAAAATGTAGCAACCATAGAAAGCCTACATACTAATTAAAACAATAATGGATGGAGATTAATCAACCTCGCCGTAGCCGAAGGACTAAAGATAAGCAGAACCAGATTTGAAAGCAAAGATATACATAAACAAACCTGGCAATCATGTGACAAAATAACTTATAATCAGATAGATCACATTTTAATAAATAACAGAAATGCATCAAACATGCAACAAGTTAGAAGCTACAAAGGAGCTGAGTGTCGTACTGACCACTACCTGGTTGGTGCAAAATTAAAATCAAGTTAAACAGATCCTTCTACACCAAGTTGCAAAGATCACATCCAGAGTACAATAGAGAATGATTAGAAGAAACGACCATATCAAAAAGATTTGCAGATATATTGAAACATAACACTGAAATTTTACAAATTCCCTCAGAGGAAGACGTTGACCAAACCTGGATGGATATTAAGAATATAATTCAAGCCACTGCAGAAGAATTTCTTGGTGTCTCCACCATAAACAGAAAGAACAAATGGTTCGATACAAAATGTGATGAAGCAGTCAGTAAGAAAAAACATGCCAGGCAGGTTTGGCTAAATGATACCAGTAACATACGAAATTAAGAAAAATACAGACATAATTTAAAGAAGCTACAAAAGTAGTTAGGCACCAAAAGCGAGAATACATGAAAGACATTGTCATGGATATGGAAGCTAACCATCAGAGCAACAAATCCAGAAAGTTTTTTAAAGAACTGAAGACTGTTAAACAAGGATATCAACAAAGCATGTATAGTTTAAAAGATCACAATGGGAACATGATAAATAATACTGAGAAAATCTGTAACAGGTGGAAGGAATACTTTGCTGAATTGTTAAACTGTGAAACCTACTTAATACTTATTCACAGAAAGAGATATTAACAAGTATTAAAGAGCCTTATTTTGAAGAAGTACTGTATGTCATAACACTGCTTTAAAACAATAAAGCAACTGGTGCTGATGGAATTGCAGCTGAACTTATAAAAGAATGTGGTCATGCATTACATGTAAAGATATATGAATTAATAAAACTAGTTTGTAAGACGGAGAAATTACCCCATGAATGGAAAGTGTCTTTATTAATACCAGTTTTTAAGAAAGGAGACAAGTATAATTATAAAAATAATAGAGAAAAATCACTATTATCTACAAGCTATAAGATACTATCGGCAATATTGCTAAACAGACTAAAACAATACGTCGAAGACATATTGGGAGATTATCAAGCGGCGTTCCGACAGAAAAGATTAACAATAGATCATATATTCATCTTACTTCAAATAGCAGGGCCAAATTGGGAATATAGAAAAGATGTACATAATGTTTTTGTGGATTTTAAAAAGGCGTATGATAGTTTACATAGAAACAGTTTTTGGAATGCTATGAAGAACTTTGGAATACCAAAGAAGTTAATTACCATGACCAAACTATGTATGGAAGACACTTGTAATATAGTAATATATAAAGGCAGAAAGTCAGACCCTTTTCAAATAACATCTGGTTTAAAGCAAGGCTATGCTCTTTACCCACTTCTGTTCAACTTGGCCCCTGGAGAAAATTATAAGGAAATTGAAACAACAGTGTACTATAGGAGAAACTTCAAGAATACTTGGATGTGCTGATAACATTGATATCATTGGAGAAAATGAACTAGAGACTGTTAAAACACTGACTGTCTTAAAAGAATCAGCTCAAAAAATGGGACTAGTTATCAGTCAAGATAAGACAGAATACATGATAATAACTAGAGAGGGAAAGGATATAAACTCCGGCCACATGCAAGTCAATAATATGAAAATCAAACTAACGGAAACATAAAAGTACTGAGGTGCAAACTTCAACTACTCCGACATGCTGAGACAAGAAATACAATCAAGAATACAATCTAGAAATAAAGTATACTATGCCCTTCAACATCTGCTAAAGTCAAAGTGTCCGTCTCGCTACACTAAGATCAAAATATATAAAAAGATGATAAGACCAGTTGTTTTATACGGCTCTGAAACTTGGAGCACAACTAAAAGAGATGAAGCCTTTTTACAGGTTTTCAAAAACAGAGACTTACGACGAATCTTTTGAGCCATCAAAGATGCAAACAGCGGTCAATGGAGAGTGAGAATCAACAACGAAATTCATAATTTGTTTAAATCACCACTGATCACTGGCATCGTGAGAGATAATAGACTGAAATGGTTAGGCATATTGAAAGAGTACCAGATGACAGAGAAGTAAAAACTGTATACACGAGGGAGTAGAATGGTCGAAGACCACAAGGCAGACCAAGAAGACGATGGAGAGATAATATCCAATCAGACCTGCAAACTCTTGATATCATCAATTGGAAAGAGAAGACCAACCAGAGAGATAAATGGAGGCGTATAATATCTGCAGCAATGAACCTCAAAGGCTCGGAATGCTGAAGAAGAAGAAGATGTTTTCTACACTTAAGAAGAGTTATGAAAAATCATGACAATGTGCATAACAGAATAGTCTTGCTGAATGTTTTCGAATGTCGAATTAAGAAATGATATCATAGCACTCGGGACACCCCAATAAGAGCTCCGTCCCCATCTTCAGAAGCAAACGAAGAGTTCCAATTCCGATGGCACCAGTAGCTGTCTGACTGTATATCCGTCTCGCTCTTTCCTTGAGTGTTGAGCGTCCGCCAGATCCCCTAGTAACTCCTCGTAGAGCCATTCTCCTCAGACCGTAATGATCTATTTGCACTTCTACACTGTTCACTCGATAGTAGTAATAGTAATAAGTCTTGCTAACGTTTGTTAATTACATGCAAGTAATAACAATAGAATACGCTTATAACAATAAGTAACGTTCAACGATAACTATAAGTATGTCATACAGCAACAAGTAAAATACAAATGTTGACCATCAATGTCTTGTTTTGGCAGACGGAATGACAGGTGTACTAAACAGACGAGAGATCACTTCAACTGATGATTGGTAGACTCCTGCTGTACATGCTCCCCTGTGGAGTTTCTTCTTATTTTTAACAGAGATGAAACAATGAAGGTAAAAATAATAGCTCCACTTTTTGCCCCTTGCGCCGCTGAAGTGAAAATGCTGCATGATTTAGTTACTTACATCTCCAGATTTCAAAGCAGAAGTTAAAATGAGGATGCTAACCATAATAACGAACTATGAGTTTTTTCACTTCTAAAGAGGCAGTAGCTATACCCCTTCTCTCAAACATATACATGTTTACATGTTAAAATTACTATCCAGATTTGTTAGCATTTCAGACCAAAAGATGCATTAACATGTCATTAACTGCTTTTTACAAACAAGCAATAACATATGGTTCTCTACTAAAGAAATTTAAAAAAAAAATACGGAGTTCTTTTAAATTTGCCCTATATACAAACAAATAATTACAGCTTTTTAAATGACAAATATAGTGGCAATGAAGATGTTTGTATTTACAGATATGAAGAGATGAACAAGGCTGGTTAGTTTGGGATAACTATTAAAGCACATTTTCAAGAATGTTAACAAGAGCCAAATGCATGGACAATCCGTAGTTTTACTCAAAGTCAAACCAAACATTTATTGCACAGTTTCACACACTTTTCTGTGATTTAAGGCATCACACATGTCCACTTGGCGTACCACAATTCCATTACTCTGCTTATCCTCTTCAAAAGGATCTAAGCCCAACCCTTTAGTCTTTATTGGTGACTGCAATACCAGCTTGCTGGTCTGGTTACTTGGAATGATGTACTTTTTGGTTTCAACATCAGAAGCATCAGTTTCTTCAAGTAAGGCATGAGTTTCCGACACGTTATTCTCGTATGAATTTGGATATGACTCCGGCTCCGGCATATCCTCGGGTTCAAAACTGTTTCCTACATCACATTCACATGCTTCCTGGCTAGGAAGTATTTCTACGAAACATGAATTGCACTGTGGGCCTTCTTCTGGGATCTCCGGCCATGTATTGTCTGTGGACGTTTTCGTGGCTGGCAGCTGTTTTAAAACTCTCATGGGATAGGTAACAGGGGAGTGAGGGTTTCTATCGTGCTGCTTGTCTGAAAACTGACTTAGGTTTTTCGAGGTGTGATTTTCTAAAGAAGCATGACTTCTGCTGGGCTGTAGATGTGTATTATTGAATGTCCGGCCTCCAAGGCTCAGTAATTTACCGGTGAAGCTCTTGCCAGTGAAACCACCTCGTTGGTTATTGCTGTTGACCTTCTTGTAGCTGGACATTCTCTTGAAGCGATAATTGTGGTCTTCAGAGATTAGAAAGTAAGTCAGCAGACTGCCTTTACCCTGAAATAGGCAAAACACTACTGTTGTGAATCAAGGTAGTTAGTACCATTCAGATTTTAGGCTGGGAAAAAAAAGTAGAATATTCTCTAACAAAATGATAATTTCGACCATATATCAGTTTTTAAGTTATAAATTCAAACTGAAATCATAGCGAGACATATCGAAACACTTGAGACATTCCCCTAACCGCTCCGCAACCATCGTCAGCAGCAAGGGCAGAGTTCAGTAACGATGGTACTGACTGTATGTTAGTCTCATCTCTCCCCACCCCCTTCCCCGATTATCCAACTTCAGCTAGAGCCCCTGGTCACTCCATGCAGAACAATTCTCTTCAGACCGTGATAACCTATTTGTGTCCCCGCACTGTTCCCATAAGGACCGGAGAATATCTAGCTCTTCATGTGCCAGTATATCACCAAATGATAAAGAACAAGCCAATCTATTTTTTCAACCACTGGTATCACCTGAAGAAAACATCTGAAGGACGCTAACTACCCAGAACATCTGAAAAAAATGCTTGCTTCACTGCATAGAGCCAACCAACTTTGGCAACCTACTCTGTGAGTGTACCTATATAAAAAAAATGACTTAACAAAACAAAGAATCAACGGTTAGGAGCTCATTGGAGAGAAATGATAAGACCTGAAGCAAGACAATCGTGCAATAGCTCGTACTGACGCTGTTTCCCTTTTATTTTATTTCTAATTTGTGATGTTTGTGATCTTACTTGGTGTAAAGAATTTTAAGTGTTTCATTCGATGATAAAGACTTTAGTTTAGAAAAGTGTCGTTGTGTTTATGCACATCATTTCACTTTCATCCCATTTAGTTTCCTCATGTTTGTGATTTGCTGAGTTATGCCCTAATTTCAGCTTTAGCTGGCAGTTTCTTTCTTTGAATGTCTAGCTGTACAATATGAAGAAAATTAATACGAATTCTGAAGAGCTATATTTACTGGAATAGGAAGCCAAGAAAAAAAAAACTTTTTACTCCCCTAATAAGAGGCGAATAGTCTGTCTGACTGACTTTCTACCCCACCAGGACATCACACAAGCGATAAACACCCGATGACACAATGTGCCACCATGTGGGTGAGGATCAGCGTGGAGAGTTCCCAGAAACGGCGTTCAGCCTTTATGACATATTGATGGCCAGGCTGTATTGCGGCCCCTAGCAAAGCCAGAGTAGGGCTTCAAATAACGAAAGATGTCATCCTGGAAAGGACTGGAGATACAGGCGAATAGTTAGGAGTCGTAGTGCATTTGCATGAGAGGTATACAAAATAGCCACATATGTAAAAGGAATGCGCTTGCCAAATTCAAATTCTAGAACAAGATCAAAGTTAGGAAGTGGACGAACAACCAGAACAACTTTCTGCCAATAGTTTACAGCCGGTAAACTTTAAGAAGATGGAGAAGAAATATTTATTAATTTTTGAAAGCAACTGGTCGTGATAGAATGATTTAAAAAATAAGAACAACCAGGGACTGCAAGGGCTATCTGGCGATACAAAGATTATTTTCATTTACCTTCATTTCTGTAAATCCCCTTTCTTCCAGGCTGTAGCCTCCAAGTATATCCAATATCTGCTTACATTCGGCACTGCAGTGGATTTTGAGAGCTGTGGCACAAACATATATTTTATGTTACGACATTCATCTTTCAAGGATAGTTACTGAAGAACTACACACATTTTATCCAGTAGGGCTTATGCAGAGTTAAATTGATAATACGCAGGGTTTGAAATACTAAGGGGGATAACTCAATAAATTTTAAATGACAAAACATTCAGGAAACCTGATAATATTGGGCTATCCTCCGAATATCGGGCAGGAAAGATGGCGGCCGCAAAATATCTTTTCGAGGAACAGTAACGTAAACATTCAAAAATTGAAGTCAAAACCAATAAGGAACGAAAATAAATGTTATATTAAATCGACAACTTAACGATAGTTTTATGCCTTTATATCTGGAAATTATGGCACAGAATTTGTAAATAGTGCCCGTAAATCTGCTGTTTGTGGCTGTTACGTCATTGAAACTCGGCTAAGTACGATCGGAACAAGGCGCGGCTCGTATCAGATTAGTTACGCAGCTCACGCGGCGTGGATTGGGGCTAAACTAGATGGCTAGGACTCACGAGCAAAGCTGCAGGAGATGCGGAAGCTGCTGCTCGTGGGTCCCAGCCATGGAAGACTCAGCGGTGAGTTTAACTCGGCGGTTTGTTTCGTTTCTCGAAATTGTCAACAGACACTAATCCTAGTTTTCCCGCGATGTGCTCGTGACCGATAGTGCGCAGTTGACACGGGACTGTGGCTCAAAAGGATGTTTTGCGGCCGCCATCTTTCCTGCAAGTTATTCGAAGGATAGCCTAATAGTGTAACTAAAAAGTCGTTTTATTTGAACACTCGGTGCAAAATAGATAGAGGGAAACATAGGAATAAATAAATAGAGTTAAAAAGACGGGATAGAAAATCAGAAATAGTCATGATGGCGGTGTTATGAAGTCAGTTAACAGAAATGGCAACAACAAAAAAAGTAGCAAACTTAGGTAGAAACAGTTGATGGTCAATGTTCAGATGTGGTGTGCATGTAAAACGGAGGAGGAGGGCGACGTTACAATGTTTTATGTGTAATAAGATATCATGGCTGCTGGTACGTCTTCTGGCTGGTAACCTTAAATTGCAGGTCCTGTTCAAAGTAAATGTGTTTATATCAGGGCCGGATGTAGACTTGATAAGCTCGCAAGCTATATAAAGCCTTGAGACCTCTACTTTGTTAAGGTACACCAGTTTATTTCAGAAAACTTAAAAATATATACACCTTTTAAATAAATGAATGCTGGAAATACAATGTAGTTTAAGTTTTAGTAAAAGAAATAAAAAAGAGTGTTTCAGCAAAATCACATAAATTATATTATACTATCCTCTTGAAAAATGAGAAGGAGACAAAGAAAGTTCTTTGGTCATGTGATTAGAAACGTAGCACTGGAAAATATCGTGATGACTGGAAATATCCCTGGGTGAAGAGGCAGAAGCAGACCAAGAGAAATGATGGAGGATGGCTTGAGACAGTGGCATGGAGGAATATCATCAGTGGAATTGATCCAGCACACAAAAGACTAAGAGCTGTGTAGATGCATGAAGGCCTACGCCAGCTGCAGAGAACTTGATAATGATCTCATTAAAGGCTCTATTAAAAGAAAATTGCATCTGGAATCTTTTGAGGCCACAGCAGATCATGAGTCCCTAAGGTGTACCTTACTTAGATTATGTGTAAATCCAGCACAGGCTCATGTGTACCCTGCTAGCAGTTTCTCGTATGCAGGTTTGATTATTCAGCTGCATTATTCCTCAGTAATAATTATGATTTCGATGAATGGAACCAACGATGCCAGCATCAAGAGCATACAACATGAAAATCGAAACACCAAGAGGCAGGGGAAGACCAAGAAGAAGATGGATTGAAGGAGTCACGGACAACTTGAGACTTCATAACATCACGGCATATGAAGCGACTGAGCGCGCCCTGGCTCGGTTGCCGATCATCTGATAGACTGCGACGCCTAGTGGCACAAGCAGATTTTGACAAAAGAAAGAAGAAGAAGAATAATGATGATAATGATAAGCAAATGTGTCTTACGCTCTCCTGTTGACTCCATTCTGTTGGCTGTGTTGACAGTGTCCCCAAATAGACAGTAGCGAGGCATCTTTAAACCAACCACGCCTGCACAACACGGACCTGCAATGAAGAAAATAAACATCTCTTACCTTGGCAGGATCTCTTGGAAAGAGATCAATAACAGAATAGGACAGAAAACAAACTAGATTTTATCAAATGAAACTAGTCTTATGTAATACATCCCTGTCATTAAACGCTGGGAAAATTAATCATTGCATGCTATTCTGCACCGTCGTGAGTTCAGTTCTGACGAAGCCATACTTTTTTCTTTTCCTTCAGAAGTGACCTTGGCTCTTAGGGCGATCCAGGCTTAAATGGGGACCAGGTAAAGTCCTAGGAAGTACAGGCGGCTAAAGTGATCTTGACCATAAGACCCACCAAGTGCCGATTGGTCTATAAAATATAAGTCTAGCCCTATATGCCTGATATGCCCAAAAGAGTGGAAAAGGGTCATTTACCTGCTCGGACCCAATTTTAACAGCAGTGAATTCTGGACAGTCAGAAAATAAGAATGCTTGAAAGACTTTCCTACCTAGAAGCCCAATGAACGCATGATGCGCCGATTTTATTACTTTCTTTACTACCCCCTGGGCCTGTGATGCTAAACTACAATTGGCATTACCGCTTTCTCACATTACGATTTCCAACAGCATGTGTCAGTTCGTGTGCTGAGATATTTTAAAGCCATGACAGACTGGCAACAATCTTCTAATTTGGTGTTTTCCAATTTTTTTTTTTCCAGTCAATCTTTCTATTGGTCACAGCATATTTCAGTTTGTCACTTCTTAAAATGTGAGCCTAAAAGTATTCTGTTTGCATTTTTTTTTTTTTTTTGTTCACTTTGAAATGTTATGTTTGGGTTTTAGCCTTTTCCACACAATATATATGCAAAGTGACCATTTTCGTCTTGTCCCTGCCCGATAACATCCGGTAATACGTGCAGCAGGAGAAACCAACCCTGAGCCTCATAAACTCAGGTAGGCTCACTCTCTGAAAATATCTAGGAGCTCGTGGGCCAAAACATTTGTCGACGAGAGATTACTTCTACTGATGATTGGTAGACTCTTGCTGTACATGCTTCCCTGTGGAGTTTCTTCTTCTTATATATATATATGTAATCAGTGTTACTGATTTTAACAGTCCAAAGAAAGTAATAAAATCGGCTCATCATGCGTTCATTGGGCTTCTAGGTAGGAACCTATGAACGTATGATGCGTTCCTTGGGACTCAAAGAGTTAATGAGGGACCTGCCGATGGTGATGATGATGCTGACGGGGATGATGATGATGATGATGTTTTAACGGCCTTGATGTTGACAAGAATGATGATGAGAAAACACCAAAAAAAAAATGAATGAACTGAAGCAAATTTATTTACAACTAAAGAAAAGGGCTCATAAAAGTATTATGCCTTGTATATGTGATGTGTGTGTGCATGCTGTTGGTTTCGCCAAAATTTTTGTCTAGCCAACTTTTCACACAGACCAGTGATAGGCATTTGGTAGTTTTCACTGTCTCATGAACAGAGCAACTACAGGGTGACTTGTTTGCTGTGAAGCTGGAATTGGAACTAAAGTCCATCACTCCATCATCATTAGTGCCTTGCCGACTAGCGTGGGTGATTATAAGTATCTACAATATGTAAATGTGTGTATCAGTTCGTGTGATGACATCCCTCTGAGCCATGACAAAAGGAAGTCACGAATCTTCTCGCATTGTCTTCCTCTGTCTCTCTTTCTACAGATCCAGTAGTCACTACCTGTTCACATTTCCTTCTCATAACATAACTAAAATAGCGTTCATATAAGTAAAGAAAGGCAGTGCCACTAGAGAGCTTCGTCGCAAAAAAAAAGTGTTCAGTTATCTTTCAGCAGGTTTGCAAAAATCTTCTTCATAAAAAGCACCGGTTAAAAATGGCGTGACCTGCTCACCTGAATGAATTCCGATCCTAATTTTCACTTTGTAGTCGTGTCTTCCTCTGATTTTGAAATGTTTCTGTTTAATGGCTTCCAGGATTAACAAAGACATCGAAGCTATTTCTCCTGCAGATAAACAATATATATATATATATATATATATATATATATATATATATATATATATATATATATATATATATATATATATATGTGTGTGTGTGTGTGTGTGTTTGTGTGTGTGTGTATGTATATATATATACACACACACACATGTGTGTTTATATATACATGTATGTGTGTGTGTGGGTATGTGTGTATGCCTGCATGCATGTATGTATAACTTTGTTTGTATATGTGTGTGTTTGTGTGTGTGTGTGTTTATTTGCATATATATATATATATATATATATATATATATATATATATATATATATATATATATGTGTGTGTGTGTTTGTGTGTGTATGTATATATATATATACACACACATGTGTGTTTATATATACATGTATGTGTGTGTGTGGGTATGTGTGTATGCCTGCATGCATGTATGTATAACTTTGTTTGTATATGTGTGTGTTTGTGTGTGTGTGTTTATTTGCATATATATATATATATATATATATATTTGTGTGTGCATATGTGTTTTTGTTTGTATGCATATGAACATATATATATATATATATATATATATATATATATATATATATATATATATATATATATATATATATATATGTGTGTGTGTGTGTGTGTGTATGTATGTATGTATATATATATATATATATATATATATATATATATATATAGAGAGAGAGAGAGAGAGAGAGAGAGAGAGAGAGAGAGAGAGAGAGAGAGAGAGAGAGAGAGAGAAGGTTAGAGAGAAAGCGGGAGAGAAGGGCAGACATACAGAGAAAAAAAAAATAGAAAGAAAACAATTTATAGTGGCATTATGGTTCATGTAATAGTCTGAGACAGCCGCCAAACAGAGCAGAGCTTTTTAACTGGCAGGTCAAATCCGGCCCGCAGAGACCTAGCAAGTGGCCCACGGCTCATTGCTGATTGTGTTGTTATAATGATCTTTTAATGCTGGAGCTCAGGCCTCCTGCCAGTGACAGTCTCTACGTTGAACATTTGGACCTCTGGGTAGATTGACTTGAATAGCCCGGAAATACAGGGTGTCTCCTAGATTTCCATACATAGGACAACTAAAATGTTTACCAATGCCATTACATGCTTAACCCCACTGTGCTTGTACATAATGTTTAGCACTGGAGAACACAGTGAAATTTGTTTTCAAATATGATAGTCATGCAAAGCATAGTATTATTTTACTATTATTATGTAAATAGCAGTGGTTTTCACAAAATATGTGTATCTGTCCTATGCGAGGAAATTTATGAGACACCCTGTAAAGGAAGAATGATGTGTTATGACCAGTGGGCTATGCAGTCGATCCAGCCATGTAAAACTACAGCAGACAATCCCCATATATTTATGTTGTTAAATTATAGGGGGTTGAACTATTCACTTGTGGTTATCATGCGGGAGACCAGGGTTCCGGTCCTGGGTAAGGTTGGTAATTTTTGTCTGTCGGGGGCCAAAATGAAATCCCAACCTGCGCAGTCAGTGCTGACAGCACCAGTCATACTCTAATCCATAGCTGCTCCAGCTGACAGCACCAGTCATACTCTAATCCATAGCTGCTACAGCTGACAGCACCAGTCATACTCTAATCCATACCTGCTCTAGCTGACAGCACCAGTCATACTCTAATCCATACCTGCTCCAGCTGACGGGCCATGCTGTTGACGTCACCAAGCTGGGCTAAAGATACGTTTAACCGTGTATTCGTGTTATCATTTCATGCACTGGGTGGATTACTTGGGTACTGACTGTCTACTATCACAAACGAAATGGCAGTGACGATGTTTTTGTGACTTTACCATATGCTCTAAAGATTTTAGGTCAATTTTCCCGGCTGCAATATTTGAGTTGTGAGTGCGATTTTTATGATGATCCCTGGGGGTAATCGCTAGTGTTAAGAAGTTCGTGTTTTGTGCGATGCACTCGGTAGAAAGCTTATTGTTCTGCAGATTGAGGCCAAGTCGGTGGGTTAAAATCTGATGCCATGAACTTGATCCTCTAGACATTTCAACTGATCTCTTGCAATATCGTCGCAGAAGCAGACTGGAAAAAACAGTAGCAGAAGGCACGGTACCAGGGAAGAGGGGCACGAACCAACCAGAACGAAGATAGGCCTTGGTATCAATAATTGGAAAGCTTGGTATACATGACACCTTGTGTAGTAAAGTGTACGAGACAGGATATCTTGTGAGAGTGAGAGACTTACCTGCGTGCCGGTCTCCATTTCGAATTGGAAGACCACTGACAACCATGTAAGCATCACCGATTGTCTCAACTTTGTAGACATCGAACTCTTCAATGATTGAATCAAAACAAGTGTAGAGGTCATTCAGCAGGTCAACCACCTGAGTCAGATAAAGAAGACGACAATGTAAAAATGATTTTTATTTCACATCAGCAACCGGGTCGCCCATTGGCTCGCCGGTAGACAACTTTGGGTCTGTCACCTTTGATAGCATCAACACTGTAGGAGTCGTCTTTAGGGTTCTTGATGGTGTGCAATGCTAAGCCATTTTATATCGCGCCAATAATCTAGTCACAATTATAACCTAAAGCAGCCCTTTTGTTTGCCTCTTATAAAGTACTTTTAATAATTTCAGTGGTGTTATTTTAGGACAAGTACAGAAATTTAAGTATCTAGGCACATGGATAACATCAGATGGAAGATGCATTACTGAGATAAGAAACAGAATAGGACAGGCAAAAACTGCATTTTATAAAATGAAGAACATCTTATGCAATATATCCTTGTCATTGAGAGTTAGAAAAAGAATTCTTGCTGGCAATATACATTCAGTTTTAACATGTGGCTGTGAATCTTCTTCTTCTTCTTCTTCTTCTTCTTCTTCTTCTTCTTCTTCTTCTTCTTCTTCTTCTTCTTCTTCTTCTTCTTTTTCTTCTTCTTCTTCTTTTTCTTCTTCTTTTTCTTCTTCTTTTTATTCTTCCTCTTCTTTATCATCTTCTTCTTCTTCTTTTTCTTCTTCTTCTTCTTCTTCTTCTTCTTCTTCTTCTTCTTCTTCTTCTTCTTCTTCTTCTTCTTTCTTCTTCTTCTTCTTCTTCTTCTTCTTCTTCTTCTTCTTCTTCTTCTTCTTCTTCTTCTTCTTCTTCTTCTTCTTCTTCTTCTTTTTCTTCTTTTTATTCTACTTCTACTTCTTCTTTCTCCTCTTTTTCTTCTTCTTATTATTTTTATTATTTTTCTTCTTTGTCTTTTATTAATATTATTATTATTATTTTATTATCACTATTATTATTATTACTATTAATATTATTACTATTATTATTATTATTATCCAGTTTCTCTCATGTGGTTTGAGCATCCAGGGTGATACTGGAGAAAATTCTCAATTTTGATTTCCTTCCTACCTCGAAACATTGTTCAATTATACTGTTTTTCTAAAGTTGTGTGTCCATCTTATTCTTGTTGCACATCATGTGCTGCACCCTATTGACCTCTGTTTATGTGTCGTGCATGGTATAACATCCCAAACATATCAAGCACTTCACACCGCAGAATATTTTTCATCATCGTCACATGCCATGACGATGGGCGTAGGTAGCCATTGTTCGCATCTCACATGATGATGATGCTCGTGATGATTGCAATGATAAGTAGTGCTTCTATTACAATCTCTTAAAACACACCTTTCACTCTAATACAAGATATATGCTCCCTGGTATAACAACAGCCATAAGGCCTCAGAGCCATGCCGTGCTATGATTCAGAGAATCGTCCGCATCAGAAGGCATCTTAAGGGGGTGGCATAGGCAGCGAAATCAAAATACAGTTTGAAAATTAAAGGACCGACATTTCAAAGACTTGCGACATACTCACAAAATCTACCGCTCGTCCCTGTAAGGCATGATTACAACAAGCTAAAAGACATCAGTGAAGTATGAGTAAAAAAACCGACATCATAACACTTAGGATATTTCCATAAGCGCTCCGTCCCCACCTTCAGCGGCAATTTGCAGAGTTCCAATTCCGATGGCACCAGTAACAATCTAATTGTACGTTCGTCTCGATCTTCTAAGTTTTGAGAATCGCCCACATTCCCAGGTCACACCTCACTACACTATTTTCTTCAGACCGTGGGGACCTGTGTGTGCCTCGGCACTGTTTACTATCTTCCAAACAGCAGGCGTGAATGAACCTGTTCAAACAAGAAAATTTGAATAAGTCTCCTACCTCCATTGGGGTACTTCCGGCACTTAGTTCTGTAAATCCGACAATGTCCGAAAAATAAATGGACACTTGTTCAAACTGCTCCGGCTCCACCCGATGGCCTCTCTTTAGTTTCTCTGCAACTGACCTGAAAATCGGTATATCATTAGCTTCAGACTACAGATATACAGACGGTAAATATTGGTATGCAGCACCAGCACACCTTTGAAGTTTGTTGTTGTTGTTTTGGCACTACTATAATAGACACTGTTTAGTTAGTAATGCTACCGTTTTTCCTATATAAAAAGCCCTGAATGTGCCGGTGTGTGCGTGTGTATGTATGTGTGTGTGTATGTCAAAGATATTTCGCACAGTAGCGTTAAAAATATTTGTATGATTTCATCTTCAGTACCAGGAAATGTCCTAAAAAGTAAAGGTTCTCCCATGATGTGAACGCATCACCATTATAGTACAAACTGGTCTAAAAACACAGGGTTCTCAAGAAGTATTGCAGGGATTTTAAACTCCCTTGTTTCTTTTTCAATAAAAGAAGTATTTGATGGATATGCACTTGTGGTTTATGTAACTGTCCAGAAAAGTTTAGTCTTATGTGCACTTGTGTTACCGAGAAGCTTAAAAAAGGGATTTCAAAAGATAAGGAACCTCCATCACCTTAAAGAGAGGGTCGCTGCGGCAATTCCAGCTGTAGTAATTCTGGACACGATTCAGAAGACGTGGCATTAGATTATATACCGCTTAGACACCACTAGACCTGCAAATGGGACCCATATCGAAGGTTAGACTTAAAACTTTAAATTTCTGTATAGTTTAAATCTAATAATTATTTCTTTTATCATGAGCGATTAAAGTAGCGGCTATCATTCTTGACGATCTTGTATTTATAGTACTATATGGAAATGGCTAGTTCTGTTTGGATTCAAATCCACGACATTCAGATACGCAGGCGAGTGTTTAGCCGCTACATCGCAGCGGCTTCTCTGAGTGCCAAATAGTCTTTTAAAAAAAAGAATCTAGCACAAATTGCCCGGTTTGCTAAAGGGGTTGAAAGGGTCCTTTATAATTTTTTTTTTCTACTTATGATCTGATATAACCAGTTGCCAACCTAGTTACTAACCTCGGCAGCATCCTCAGAAGTAAGTTTTCTGTCATTCGCTTCTCAAGTCTCAACTGTTCTGTTCTCTCTGCCACGAGAGCTTCCAGGTTGTTGGCATACTTCTCCATCATAGCCAGCATGTTGTCAAAAATGTTGGACTTTCTGCGAACAAGGAAAAACCCATTTGTACTGAATTCACACGATTGTGTCGTCATCATATATATTTTCGGTTACTCTGTTTCAGTTCGGCAGCTGTTAGTGGCTAGGCCCAAGATCGGCTCCATGCTGCTGACATCACCAAACCGGGCTGAAAAAAAAAACGCTAACAAAACAGTGCAAATTTAATGTGAAGCAGATTTTGATAGATTCTTGATTATTACCGCGGCACCTCTGACATATGCTCGAAACACCCAGTTTGAGAATTGGTGTGCTAACGTATCATTAGCCCGGTTTGGTGACCTGTCAGCTGGAACCGGCCTTGCTAGACCCTTGTCTCCTAGCCAGAAGGTATTGGGTTCGATTCTGGATCAAAGCAGAATTTGTTATGTTTTTTTTTTTCCTTCAAAAATGTGATCTTGTCTCCCAGGTCATCCCAGCTGGAAACGGGTTCCAGGTAATGTTACTAGAAGTAAAGGTGGTCGGTATGATGATGACTACACCACTACCCTGTGCCGAGTGGTCTAGAAAAATATGTGTCTAGCATCATATGCCTGAAACGCTGCTGGTGTAAAATAGGTACAGGACTACTTCACTGCTGTCTGGATTCCGTGTGTCTGTACTTTTTTTTTTTTTTTTAAAGTAATGTTTCTTAATTTCTTTGGTGCAGATATTACCAAAAAAAAAACAATTGGAAGCAACCTAAAAGAGGAGCCAGGTAATATCATGGAAGTAAAGTGGCTGGTATGATGGACTTTACATCACCAATCAAGCGTCGACTGATGTTTAAAGAAAAAAAAAAGTCTAGCATCCTGAGGTAAAAAGAGCCATTTATCTATTTAGAAGTTCAGGGGTAACATACTGTTTCATATAGAACAAATGATGTACAAGGGACATTCAGATAGTGACGTCCTACATTTTGTTTCTTGCAAATTGTTCTTGCACATTTTTTTTTTCTTCACATTTACTGGCATTATAGCGCAGTACGTTCTTTACGTTCTGTAATCTTTCCATATAGACTCTATCTACTTTTGTGACATAATGCCCGGGTAAAACAACGGAATGTACGAGTTGCTGATATCAGAATTTTTTGTTTGCGTAGTAATTTCTTTACAGGATAAATAACATCTTCAGGTCATTCTCTCCATTTACTGAAGACTTAACTCTCTGAATTCAGCTACCAACAGTGTTCAGATTGACTGTACATATTCACACATATCATACATAGGTTTATGAGTGTTTACAAAAGTTTCTTTATCCGCAGCCAGAAATTTTACAACAATTCGCTGTTTGCCAGTGTCATTTCCCTCTATTTTAACGGACTAATGCAGCATACGGCTTTCATAGCACTAAGAAATTTGTGGAAGTCAAAAGAAATTAAAAGAAATACTAAACTAAAAATTTTTAATTCTAATGTCAAATCAGTACTATTGTATGGGGCGGAAACATGGAGAACAACGAAGGCAATTACTAATAAATTACAAACATTCATTAACTGGTGCCTGCGTAGAATAGAGGGAATAAATGGTATGA